AGCCGATAGAAATTATCCATTCAATCCCTATTGAAGCTGCTGTGAAAAGAAAATCACGGCAGCACAAGAAAAATCGTTGGAAAACCAGAACAAGAACAGGGTCCAGAAAAATTATAAAGTAGGTGAGAAAGTATGGTTAAAAACGAACAGAAGATTGGGAAATAAACTTTCGCCCCTATTCACTGAAGCAACAGTTGAGGCGGACCTGGGTACGACGGTTCTAATTAAAGGGAGGGTGGTCCATAAGGACTGTCTTAAGTAGAGAAAAACTTGTTCCTCAGAATTTGAACTTTTAGACGAATAAGTTTTAAATACATCTCACTTTAGGTTACGATACTTTTTGGCTCTGACAATGACAACGCTGCCTGTGACCGAAGCGACACTAAGACTTAATGACTATTTACACGCGGACTACATTCCCATAGCTGACGGAGACGTGACAATCTGGGACGAATACAGGTACTTGGGACACACGACAAACTTAACATCATTCAAAACTTACGTTGACGAAACAAGACAACTAATAGACAACCTACTCAAAGACCACATGAAACAGGCACTGAAGTCCGACTTTCAACATATAGCCACATTAATTACAATTTTAAATGTTCACCATAGGCAATCTGGAAGCATAAACTTGATAGGTAGTGCCCTTAAGGCAATTGCAGGAACCCCATATTTTTACGACTGGGAGCAGTTAATAGATTCAGAAAATAGACAAATTGAAATAAACAATAAATTTCAAGTACGACTTAATTAAGTTTCGAAGGCACTTAATGCAATTCTAAAACCCGATGCAAAAGTTGAGCATCTCTATTCAACAATTCTAGCGAAGAACAGAATTATAATTGCTAATCTTGAAGACCTAATTCTATCCGTAACACTTGCTTTATTAGCCCACTTATCTTGGATAGCATTGACATTAAAGAGTTGTTAAATGAGCATCTCAGAATATTAGTGTAGTAGACCTTTTAGAGGTATTTAATGCTAGATACATCTAAAAGGTCTACTACACTAATATTCTGAGATGCTCAGCATTTCAAAATTCTGTACTTTTATATTTTCTTATAAGATATCCCCAACCTAAGTTAAATTGTAGGAAAATAGACATTTTCCCGGTTGAACACAATAATGTAATAATAGATCTAGAAGAGGGTGGGTGGTGGTGATGAAAAGGATTGCATCAGAACCTTTTAAAAGAGCTACAATATGGCGATGAATAAAACTATAACAATTTTCGCATGTCACTCAGTGATTTCAATTTTTTATTAGAAAAAGTAAATTTTTTCAGCAATTTCGCGATAAGCATATTGTTTTTTATACTTATTTTTCAAGTCTGCTGACGAAACATCCCATAAAACTCAAAAATTCTCGTACAATTMAATTAATYCAATCGTTTTCTCGCGATCTCACWTTTTGCTTTGCTTGCTGCAATATTGCGGCTGAAAGCAAACAAGTTAACGGTAAAATTCTGTATTCAGACGACAGGCAAAAAAAGTTGCTGCAAACAGTTATTGCAAATTTTTTGTTTGCAGCAAAATGTTTGCACTCGTGTTCAAACGAGCAAATTTGATTGCAGCTATCAACTTGATGCAAAATGTTTGCATCGTGTGTACCTAGCTTAAGCTCTCTCTCGTCCGAATATAAACCAAGTCATATATGTTTTACTGGTTGGGTTCTCCCCTTGATGGGTTGACTGGACTCTCCAACCTCCTTAGATTGTCGATAGTCTTAACTTATATATGTATATATAAGATATGTTAATATGTTCTTACCAGTGTTACAGTTGACTTCTATAGATGAACTAGGTACTTGGGAAACTCTGTTTCTATTCTTGGCAAAAGTTTCAAAGGTAGAACTAGATGCAGATGTCTCCAATTTATTGTCGCATGGTTTTGAACCTAATTTAGCTCTGTTTAAAATGAAACCAGCTTCTCCGGCATTTGTCGGCCAATTCGTACCGAGCAAATCGGCCAAATCGACGTTTTCTTTTTCCAGACGATTACTAACAATGCTTATATTTTGCTCCTTTCTACTAACGTCTTCAATGTCACTATTAGTCATAACATTAGTATCGCTTTCATTAATATTTGATTCGGTTCTCTTCATTGTGTCAAAAATATTCTCGTTTTTCTGACAACTTACTAGACTTGATCCTTTACGTCCCATAGGTATCAGAATGTTATTTAAATATAATTTATTACTATTATTATATTTATTTATCCCGTTTATAGATGAATCATTTTCTTTAATAGACTCACTCATGAATTCGGAGTCGTATTTATCTGTGTTTCGATTCACGTCTGTTTCTATCAATGAATCATAAAAATGAGCTGTAGGCTGTCGTTTCTTGGACTTGTGATCACTTCGCTGTCCATTTAATGTTGATGGCACAATGGATGTGTACACACGATCAATAGTTTCGTTGATCAATTGTCTGGCGGATAGTTTATGTTTTGATTCACTTGATACAGGAGCTATCCAATTAGCAGTGGTAAATATTGCCAAGTTAGGTTCACACTGCATGTACTTCGTAGCGAACTGAATTTCCTTGGCTTGAGGTGAGTACCCGTTATTGAGATGCTAAGATAATACAGCAATTTATATATATTAGTGGAGAATTGATTAATATTAGTAACATTCAAGTAACAAACCAAAATTTCCAATCCAAAATAATATCCTACGGAATTGAGTTCTTGCACTGGACCAATGTAACGTATAATACAATCAAAATTCGTGTTTCCATTTTTAAACAATTCTCCACGCACACACACAACGTCATTGACTTTTAAGTTAGTCAACCAAAGACATTCTTCGCTATTGTTAACTAAACGTAACCGACTTTCAAGACTGTCAATGCTAATAACAAATGGCCAAATTTCCTCTGCTACTTTAACCAAGTAGCTCGTCCTGATTTCGTAAAATTGGTTATTTGTAACAGCATTGAAGTTTAAAATTTGAACAATACATTCGTCACTTTCTTTACCATCAGAAGTTCCAATAATTTTTATTAATGATCCAGGAAAGACCATTTGTTTGTCGAGATACATAGAGGGTTTACTTTCACCATTATCGGATAAAGATATAATTCCAGATTTGGTTAGCTCTATCTGTCGATTAACGAGCGCGTATTTAAGATATTTTAGATTAGTTTCCATCTAATTCAGATACCAAAATAGTTAACAATGAATATAAAGGTTACAAATAACAAATAAATAAATGAAATAATATCGATATATGTATGTAAGCATATTTATAAAAATCGATAAGAAAATGAATTGCGTTTATACGTAAAAATAGACATAGAAACAGAACATGATTTGTATCATGTATTATTGTTAATTTAACTTCTAAATTCAGCTTTACCACTAACCAGAGAACACATAGACCGGAAAAGTAGTGTAAAGCGGTTTGCACACTTTTTTTTCGGGAGTTATCTCCCAGACCCATTCGTATTTGCTAGACTTTTCACTTTTAGGTTCGGGCTAGAGGAGCCAAACTATCGATGGTGGGTCCCATCGATTGAGGACGATAGTAATTTTCAAACCGTCGATAGCGGTCGACAGTCGCCAAAAAAAGAAAAAAAAAACAGTGATTCGTATCCTTACAAATTTGAACTTATATGAACGTTTCAATTTTGTGAAATTACGTTTTAAAATAAAAGCTGAATTGACTTAAAAGCTAAAACCTAAAAACTATTATGTTATGTTTTTTATTGTAGTGATCGATTTTTGTTGTCTGCAAATAAGTGTC